TTTCTTATAAATGAAAAAAATACTAAGCCACCAGTTACTGATTCTTTGTAAAAATATGTAAATAAGCAAAGAAAGCCAAATGAATCGTAAACTAAGTAGACATCCAACAGAGAACTTCTCCATTAGAATATTGGATTAACAGCTATGAAAATAAGTGAATAGGAATTACACATTGCTCAGTTAAAGGACATTTATTAACTAACAGTGTGCACAAAATCTTTATGCAAATCCATCAACAATCTAGGTGGATATGATCCCACTTAACTTACATGCTTCACAGTTTGTTTCTTTTGGAATGACTATAAAATATCCTGTCATAAAATTTAGAATTTAAGTGGTGAACCCCAGAGACTGGTTGATACAATTAACTTCACTCATTCAGGAACTCATTCACATTTCTTAGAGTAACTTAAAGATACAATAAAATGTGAATAAAACATCAGTCTGTCATTGAGAAGAGAAAATTTCTCCTACTCTCAATTTAGCAAAAAGTATGTTTTCTAATAATCTCAGAAAATATTTTAAATGAACTGAAGCTAAAGCCTGAAAGTGAGATGTTGTATAGGTGTACTGTAATCTCCCTACCAAAGTTTGATATACAATATTAAATCAAAAATTTACAGCAATAATTTACATGGAAATCATTGACATTCTAGATGTTCCTGAACAACAAAAACCCGCCTAAATGGAGAAAGGCAATCCTATTTGCAAAATGATTATTAAAAAGTACAAAAATCAGCTTACCAGGACAAATATGTAATATGCATATTTCTTGAATTTTGTTATATATTGATGGTGCCTTAGAGTTAATCATGACTGTTACTAAATGAACAAGTTCATACAGTGTTCATCTTTGAAGGTAGTTTGCAATTGCTATTTCCTAGGTCTGAGAGAGTTAAAGATAGGGCTAGAACTCACAAGCTCTAGATAAGTTCCTTTAATTACTACATTAAACTAGCTTCTTCTGTAAGATCATACCAAAATAGAACATTTATATTTTACCTTACCTCAAATATGTCACAACACCTATATGTATAAGATTATTAACCTCTGAGTAAGTAATCAACGGGTTTTTTACATAAAGAACTATAACTCTCAACACTCCTATAACAGCTATATAAATTTAACAAATCAAATATCAACCCAGCACAATAATTATACAGCCACAGGTTTTCTATCTCTACCTTAAAAGGGCTACAGATTGATTTACTGACTTTCACACTTCATGTTAATGCTTTTCAATTCAGTATTGGAAAAATCAAGAAACATCAACGTGGACTGTGCAGAAATGGATAGGCTTACATTGAAAATGAAAGGGAAAGAAGATACAGAATACTTTCAAACATGGGATAATTTTTGTAAATGGCTAGGAAAATGGAGTAGCGAGTAGGAATGGAAGTTGTAGGAATGGAAGTTGTATTATTATTAATGTCAAATATGTGGACCCAGACAACACATTGTTTATTAAGCACTAAAGATTTGTAACTATAAAAACGTAATAAAATATATATTAAAAAAGTAAATAACAATTAAATGGCAGGCCTTACAAAACTAAAAAGCTATGCTAAACTAAACCAAGATCATTAAATCCATCAAAAGGATCTGAGAAATACCCAATACACAAGCAAGACAGCCTCATGATCCCAGAAAATAACATTAAAAAAAAATCTTCTGCCACTATTACTATACATATTACGTGTAATTACATCTAGTTTCATTAATAGCCTAAAAGTTTATGAGTTTGTACTGTCCTATTCTGAGCAAACTGGTATAAAATTCCACCAGTCAACTAGCAGAAAAACATTACATTTGTATTAGCTCCCTCCCTCTGTCCCCTCATTGGGTCAGTCTACTATTTTGACAATTGTAATATGTTTCTGTGATATTTTTCTTCTTTCTGAACTACTCTCTCACTCATCCCCGTGCCTAGCATTTTCCAGCTCTACAGTAGTCTTCAAGGTATAAGCCTGAGACTGTAATCATCAGTATGGGTGCACAGCTTTAACATAAAATTCTTACAATATGGGTCATTTCCATGCTTTTTCTAAATCTACAGTACTGTATTTCTACAGCAGCTTATGTTTTCATTGGGCGATTTAATCCACCACCATTTCAAAATGCCTTTGCTGGCCAACTGTCATTAACTTAGGCTTCAGTGGCATATACTGTATATCTAACATTAGAAGAGGTGAGGAATTAGTCCCAAAGTTATATTTTTTAAAGGACAACCTATTTCAGCTATCATGCTTATAGTTATCACAAATAATCATGTGTCTATTTGCATCCACATAGCAACACTAGCTCCAGTCCACTGATAAAGCCCACTGATTTCAATCAACTTACATTATGGTAATAGTATCTATCTCAGATAAGCCCATTTTCGATTCCTTGAAAATTCTCTTTTGAAGCAAAAACAACTATTAAGGATTTCTACCTTGTTTAAGGAAGAAATTCGAAGCAGAAAACCCTTTTACGCTTTACACTCACAGTAAATGGTTTTGAGATGACGCAAAAGTAATTAAACCAAGGTTGCTATTTTTGGCAACCTTAGTTCTTTTATTTTTTTTATTTTTTAACCCTTTTATTTTGAGACTACACAATCTACCCTATCTTATATTGTAGCACTTTTTTTTCATTAAGTAAATCCCACTGTCTTCAGTGGGGCTTACTCTCTAGCAACCATCAATTAAATTGCATTCTTAATCGAAACCCTTGAATTCAGGCTTTCCTGATCTTTTCATGTTGCACTGCAATTAGTTTTCTTAAAAATGCAACCCAACTGCTGCTTAAAAACACAATAATTAAATACTGCATTTAATGAAATTTAACTGAAGACCTGTCCAATTTTATTGCAAGAAAATTCAGCTTCATGAACTGAAATTAGGAAATTAAGATTTGTACTAATCAAAACACCACCAGTTGGAATGAATGTGCCTAAATATACACATACTTAAAGTTACTTTCTGTATCCCCAGTAAAAAGCTGGCCTTTATACAGTTAATAAGGGGGTTCTCCAAATGTGAAAACATTAAATCTACTACTAAGGTTCTGTATTCATTCAAAGGCTGACACACAAAGCTGCTCTCTTCAAGTAATACAAAATGTCACCACAGGCTGACGCTCTTTCTACAAGAATTATGAGAGGCTGCACAGTGTAGGAAGAGTACAGTTTGCAGTTTGCTTCTCTTGTTCCAATACTGGTTAATACACAAATAGATTCAGACAGAAAACTGGTAACCGTACAGGTAGTTCAGTAGTCCCATTTACCTTATTCCTGAAAAGCTTAAGAAATAATAGGAATCAAGCCAAAATTTCAGTGGAAAATCAAACACATGAGGAATTCTACCAGGTTTGAGTAAACTTGCTTCAAAATGGAGCTGATTTAATGCAAAAACCATGCTTTTAGAACTGGAAGAGCCAATATACTAATTGATCTTCCATCACTAAGAAGGATATGCCAGGTGGATCTCACACTTCTTTGTCTGGAAGCCAAGAACTGACTAAATCTTTCAATATTACAATCTGTCATTCGTACAGACTCAGCCATCAGTAACAGGACTATATAGTTTTGTCCCTAAAATTCTGAAAACAGGACAAGGATGCATTGGATAGTATCCATGAATGTGGTGTGTACATGTATACGCAACACAGGCAGAGAAGCGAAGTCCATAAAGAACTATACAGGTGCGGAATAGAAATAGCAGAAATGTGTTCCAGTCTAGGGAGCCATTTACTGACCTGTTATCTAAGTTTACAGTAATTTTATCTAGAGGACTTCCTGAAACAATATTTAATGCTTTGAAATCAGTCTGATAGGACCTACAAATCTGATCTGGACTTTCAACTAGTCTTTGGTTTGAATGATCTTTCACTCAATCCTACCTCCACAGCCTATTTTTTTTTTCTGCTACAGACATAGTGCTTGTGGTCCTTTGAACTAAAGGGCATGGTTTTTGGTGTTTTCTGTGTGTGTATGTGTGCAGAGCAGATGAGGTCACCTTGGTCTGCTCTCTCTTGCACAACAAGTAAGGCAACTTTTAAAAGGAACAGAAGAAACTCACCAAAGATAAAGGCTGTTCTGTACCTGACAAATCTTGCTGAGCTTCCCAGATAACTAAAAGGAAGCTGGCAGGCACATTTTGTTTGCTTTCATAACAAACCCCAAAGCAAATAAGAAAAATAAATATTTTGTTTTATCCTTTGTACAACGCAAGTAAAAAAGGGCTAACGATCCTTACATTTGAATTTAAAATAGGGCAGTCCCATCTATCAAAAGCTCAATGTTTAATGGCCCATGAGGTTGGAAATAAAGCTGGCCGTGATCAACAGGCTTCTCCCAAATGAATAGACACCAGAGTGGAACCTTAAACATGATTTAGCCAGAAAGTGGAGGAAAAAAACCCCCGAAAAGGAAATATTAATTTTAAAAAGAGAGGGAATAATTTTCAAAGGTTCCTTGACTGGGATGCGTCAGATCCACTCAGGATGTCGGTCTCCACTTTTCTACAAAAGTCTCAATGAGTTTATAATAAGTAAGGGACTGCAGTCAGGCGTACGTGCTGCAGCACGCGTGGAAACGGGGGGGATCGTAATCTGTCCACACACACACACGTATGGATAGTCGATTCTGATCGATCCGCTTCCCACTTCCCTTCGCCCCGCACAAGATAAGGCGCTCGATTTCTAAACCACACAACGCGAGCGAGGTTCGTCCGGAGCAGGAAGCCGGTTTCCGAAGAAAAACCATCGCGATTAAACGACAGAATCCAGAACCAGCCGGAGCGCGACACGGACCCACCTGGCAGCCGCAATCCGGCTTCGACCTCCCTAAAGTTCCAGGCAGTCAAGAAAGAGCAAAAGAAAGCGGAGGGCGAAGAGGCCGAGAAGCCAGAACGGTAACAGCTTTCCTCCCGCGGTCAACACGTCCCCCCCCACCCCCGGGCGCGCCTTTTTCCCCGGCCGGGCGCAAGTTGAGCTCCCCTCCAAAATCCCTGACTTACCTGGCCGCAGGGACAGGGCAGAAAGCAGCAAACCCAGGAGAAAGAAGAGCGGCGTTTGCCGCTGCGGCCGACCAGGAAAGCAGGAGGCGACGGCAGAGGGCATCTCCATCCCGCCTCCCCGCCGGGCGAACGGCGACTTCGGCCGCTGCTTCTCCCGAAGGCAGGAACGGAAGGACGAGGGCGCAGGGCTTTCCCAGAGAGCGGCCGCGGCGGCTTCTTCTCCGAAGAGGAATCGCAGCAGGTCCGCAACTTTCCAACAAACGAGGTCCAATTGCAGGGTGGGTGTGTGTGTGTGTGTGTGGGTGGGTGGGAGCAGAAGTTGGGAGGATCGGGGAAAGCGGCCGCTAACAGCTTCTGCGACCGAGGAGGAACGAACGAACGAGCGAGCGAGCGACCAACCGAGCGAGCGAGGCGCCAATCGCAACCGCTCCGAAGCAGGTGGCTCTTCCCTCTGGCAGCCTAGCGGCGCTCCAAGACCGAAAGCTGGAAGAAAGAGGTGGGGCCAGCCAGGGAGGACACGCCCCTGCCCTCGCTCAAAGGGCCCGCTCCTTTGCCGAGATCCGTTTCCGAGCCTTCCGCCGAAGCTTTCTATTAGCCAGCCAGCGAAGAGCGCGGCTAGCGGGCGGAGAGAGGAGGACGTGGCGGTTTGGCTGTATGGCGGGGGTCGGGGCGCCTTGAAACTAAGGAGGCAGGAGAAAAGGCGGAATGGAAGGCGAGACGCGTCTTGATCGGTTGACGGGGGGGAATGAAAAGGCCTGGGAAAGATTGGGCAGGGAAGTAACCAACAGGCAGCGTAGGGTCGCCGGGTTTGAGCAGCCGGGGGGGTGGGGGGGGGCGGGGAGGCGATAGCAGCAGGTCTGGCGAAATCCTAGGGCACTTTTCGCTGCAATCCTATGCGTGTTTATGTCGGTAAGTCCCACTGTTTGCAAGGGAGCTTACTCCCAGGGGAAGTGCAAAGGATGCAGTCCTGGATGCTCCGAACCGGGATCCGGCTGAAGGAGAAAAAGAACGAGGTGGAAAAAAAAAGGGGAACTTTGATCATCCCCGGGGATGGAAATCGCGCCTTGGATTGTCGATTCCTAGAAAGAATCCGCGGCTCCTGCTCTTAGCAGAGATTTGAGGCCAGAACGCGCCGACACTGGAATCTCTTGTCTGAAACGTGCGATGCAGGCAGAACGCAGCATTTGCTACCTCGAAGTAAGCTCCAGCTTGCCGGAAATTCCAATGGAAAAGAGCCGCAGCTGTAATCCTAGGTGCCTCCAGTTGAGGATAGTGATGCAAAGGTCGTTGTGAGTAGGTTCCCAGGAATAGGTCTCGGCGAGACTTTTAAGCAAACATGTACAAAGATTACGCAGTAAAGACAAGGATTCTCTTCGTTGTTTGGGCCAATGCAATTTGCTTTTCGGGGCTTCGTCCCAAAGGACTACAATGACTTTATGGCGAATACAGTGTTTAAATTGGTGAATACAGTGTTTAAATTCTTAAGTAGATATTTTCCCAGGAGATTCTGTGGAAATCTCAGATGTTCTCAGATTCTGCCAAAGGCTTTGGTTAAATCGGTAGGTGATAGATGGAAGGGTGAATTGGATCTGATCAGTTAGGGGAAAAAAAACTGCTGCATTCTGAAGTCAGCACTGCCAACCCCTTGATTTTTCAAAAAAAAAAAATTATTGTCCTGTTTATCTTAAGCTAAACAGAGAAAATGGTTCAAAGGAATCCTATGTGCCTTTCTGGGATTGCTTTCATCTCCTTCCTTTACCCATTACCTCAAAGGGGCTTGCAGTGTCTCAAAAAAAAAAAATCTCTATGACTAGTTTACCCTAGTGCATTTAGACTTGTATATGCAGAAAAATAGTTATATTAATAATTATTGCATACTAATTTACAAGTATATATATATATATACACACACACACACCATATTTTCTAGAGTAAAAAATATCCAGAACAGAAATAGATTAAAAACAAACTGGGTTCCCCCAAAGCATAATATATATTGAAATTATATAATTTCCCTTGCTGCCTGTCCTTTCCATGTAATTAATAATATAGATGTGAAATTGCTCACTCTGGGGTTTAAATAGTAGATTCGTCTTCACCCAATTATGTATTAGTTTAGCACTCTAGTGCAATTAGTCCATTAAAAATGCTGACTGCTGAAATTTTGGAGCTGAGATGCATAAAACAGTTCCTTTAGAACAGGGGTATCAAACTTGCAACGTCACATGACATGTCACGACGCACGACTTTTTTGCCATTGCCAGCACTGGAGTGGGCATGGTTTCGCTATGAAGCATCATCCTGTTTGAATATCTATTTCAAAGGGGAAAAAAGGCAAGTTAGCCAAGTAATTAGGTATAAGGATAGAGGTGCGTCTGAGCTTCAAATAACCTTTCATATTTCCCACCATTTATTTCTCAGAAGACACTGAAGGCAAACTGGAATGCTCCAGTTTAAAAGCATACCTGTACACACACACACAGACCATATAACCATTAAGCTTTACAAAATCTTGATTAAAAAGTGGTTCAATTCCAGATGGCCACTTTGAGGGTCTTCAGTTATCTTTTCTACATGTATATGCATATTCGAAAAGCACTTCTTGGAAATAGATTGGCAAAAGGAAACGGTTGCCTTTGATGCTCCAGTTGAGAGCTTCAGTGCAGATACCTTGTTTTTCAGGATAACTTGAATCAAATTGCTCCTTTACACCAATTTTAGATTTGCTTTGTACAGACATAATTCCCAGATTTAAAAGCATAAGCAGAAAAAAGAATGTTCCTACTGTGCATGCATGCACCAGCACAGACAAAGGAAACAGATTTTATAAACAAGCTAACACATGTCACAATATAAAGATACTTTTTCCCCAATCTATCTTATTTTTTTTCCTGATAAAACCAACCTGTGTTAAAATACTTTTATACTTTCTACCAATGTTTATTGCTTCCTTAGGATCCCTTTTAGACTTGCCTTCAATCCCCTCCCTCCCTCCCTCTTTCCCTCTTTCTTCTTCTCTCTTTCAATCTCTCTCTGATAAAGAGTGCTTTCAAATAAAAGCCTGTTCCAAGCAGCTAGATATGTTTTCATAAAATTACCATAGGAATTCTTGAAAATGAAAATGAGGCTGGGGTTTTGTTTTGCAACATGCTGGTCTCTGGGTTGGAAAAAAAATAACAATTTATACTCCACCAAATTAGGAGAGATGCGGAATTTGGTAGCAATCAAGAGAGATCTGCAGATTCACTGCAGTCTGCAGGCACTAGTGAATATTGGAGAGGGAATAGGAATCAGAGAATGTAAGGAGCTGTGATAGACTAATTATTTTGCACCTTTGCCCTGTTATTTTCAACTGATGTTTCTATGTCCCATGCCTCCTGCAGGGCAATGAATACATTTAATCTTCATTTAGCTGAGTGAAGTTTCTGGATTTTCTTTAAAAATCCTCATGTATTTTCTTGCATGTTTCAAAACAATTGCTTTACTAATTTTTCTATTTACTTGATAGGGATCTAGCAAACTTATGTAAGAAAGAAAAACCTTCTTACATGATAGGAATGGTATCATTGAGAATTAAAGTTAGCCTGGAGGAAGAGACTGATAAACTTATTTGGCTTTTATGAATAAAAATAGAGAAATTTCAAGAGAATGTGATGGAAAATCCCCAGTAGAAATTGTCTGTTTCAGTTCTTAGACAGCATATAGTGTCCTGGAGAAAGAAAAGAACAAAGGAATCATTAATACATCAATCCTGAGGTGTCCTCTGGGTTTGCGAAAACTTCTAGCACTTGTCTGTAGGTGGCCCCATTTTTCTACCCAGCTGATAAATGGACCAATCATGTCCACTATTAGAATAAATAAACAGGAAATTAAGCAACAACATCAAACTTCCCTGTACTAAAAGTAGCAGAGTTTGCTCTATGGGAGCAAAAAAATGATTTGCTATAATGCTTTCAGGTTCAGGCAGGTTAGAAGTGATAATTGTTTTATCAAAAGAGAGAGACAGGAAATCTTAAGGCTTCACTGCTCACTGCATGATTTGCAAGACAACCTGAACCAATGCCATAAATGTAACATATTTTCTTGATAAATGCTCTTTTCACATACTCCTTTGCAAAACATACATTCAGTTTTCATGCATCCCATTCTCAGAAATCAGTTATAAAATAATGAATGAAAGGTGTGGAAAGAGAAAGGAATATAGAAATTTACTATATTTCTATCTATCCATTCATTCATTCATTCTTTCAATTTCTATTGCCACCCATCTCAGCCAAGTGATCCTGGACAGCTTACAATATTAAGACTACTAAGACTACTTAACAGCTAAAGCAATTAAACATCCAAACGATAAATACATTCAGCAGGTTATAGTTAAACATCTAACAATAAAGCCCAAAAAAGGGGATCCTTTAACATATTAGAAGCCCTAGGCCCAGGTACAAAGCCAGGTTTTTTTTTGGGGGGGGGAATGCAGTATAATCACAATGCTAATGCAATCAAATGGTTTTCTCTTGGCTTTTTTAAGCATCTCAAGAGACAAGGAGCCACAATACAATTATAGGCCATAGAGTTGGAAAGGACGTTAGAGGACATATTAATTCCAAAGCCCATTTAGTGCAGGAACCATCTTGGACATACAACCTCTGTCTGGAGACCTTCAATAAAGAACTCTCCTGCTCACATAGCAACCTTTTCCATTGGCTGACAGCTATTATAGTATCAACCATAATGCTATTTCTCCAGCTATAAGGTTTTACATTTAGGCAAGAAAAACCAAATGCACAGGTATAGTATAGGGGGTACCTTGCTCAATAGTAGCAACTGTGAAAGGAATCTTGGAGTCCTAGTGGACAATCACTTAAATATGAGCCAGCAGTGTGCTGCAGCTGCCAAAAAAGCCAACACTGCTAGACTGCATTAACAGAGGGATAGAATCAAGATCACGTGAAGTGTTGATACCACTTTACAATGCTTTGGTAAGGCCACACTTGGAATACTGCATCCAGTTTTGATCATCATGATGTAAAAAAGATGTTGAGACTCTAGAAAGAGTGCAGAGAAGAGCAACAAAGAGGATTAGGGGACTGGAGGCTAAAACATAGTAGTAGCAATAACAGCCCTCCTCAATAGTCCCAGTTTCTTATGTGACCTTTTGGGAAAATTAATTGTCCCCCTCTGGTCTTGACATAGTATGCTCTGTATGGGCACATCTACTTATTTGAAATATTTGCTGATGGTTCATGTTCCATTGTTCCTTTGGGGTCATTGGATTCTACTGCATTCTAGCA